CAAACAAAAAGCGCACTTACCGCAGAGTCGGATAGTTGTATGGTGGCGTACAGTACGAGCCAAATCACAACCCAGGCAGGCTGTCGCAGGCGCCTCAAGCCTCTAGTCATCTTCAGAGGAGGAAAACTGCGATCCACCTGCGTTACCGATCACGGACCCGTCTCTCTATGTGCGTGTCATGTCTCTGTGCGCCAATCTCCGTCTGCAGACTCGGCCCGTCGGACGCAGAAAGTGTGAGCAGAAAGGCACTCACTCCTGCGGCTTGTTGCTGCGCTCACAGAGCGAGATCCTGTAGTGATCCTGGCTCTGGCACGGTGCGCCTCTGCAGTTCACCCCCACCCCCTCCTCCTCCTCCCCCTCCTCCCGTCCCCCTTCCCCACTCTATTTCCCTCCCCTCGACTTGCAGCGCCAACTTGTTACCCACCCCGGATGTGCGGCGACTCTGACACTCTTGAGCGCAGTGATTTGTGCTCCGCATGCTTCTGCAGCAGAAAAAAAGAGTGCAAAAATAATAATAAAAAATATATATATGTATGTAATCTAATGCAAAACTTACTTTCAGGTGTGGATCGTTCAGTTCAGATCGGGTTTCCTTTACTTTCAAATGAAAAGAAACTCACTTTATCACGTCCCGATGCGCGCGGATGGATACCACTTTGCGCCCAAAAAGAACTGAGCGTGGAAAAAAAAAGTGTCTTGACATTTTCCCTTTAATTTTTCTGTAAGTCTGGGCATGTTGCATTCCTGTGGAATTTTTAAAGGTCACCCTTTTCCACTTTTGATCCTTTGCAGGTGGATGGAGATGACACGAGTGACAGGTGAGCCGTTCGTCTCGGAGAGGCTCACTGAAATCACAGTGAATCATCAGATTACCATCTGTTTGCTGGCAGGTGAAGTTGGCCGCTTTGGTTATAGTTTCATCATTCAAAACGCAAAAACGCAAGTCAAAATTCAAAACTTTTGGCCACATTTTCAAACTTTTCAAATTGTTTTTTTTTTTTTTTTTTTTTTTTAAAAAAGGATAAAAAAAAAAAAAAAACAACAAAT